TTTTTACCAACACCCGCATTTGTGTTTCTATCACAGACATTGCAGCAGGCTCGCAGCCAAATTACTGGCCCAGGAGGATCCCTAGCGGCCTTCCGCTTCCCGGAGGGAGGTGAGGCAGCTGCTGGAGGGGCAGGGGCGGCAGCAGAGGAGGAAGATGATTTGTACTCTTAAAGAAAACGAACAAAAGAGCTGGAAATATCAAGGATCCTGATATGTAGTGGGAAATCAGGCACGCAGGTGGAACAATATGTTAATTCGTGAGAGTAAATGAATGGATAGAGAAGGATGGGTTGAGGGGGGCATTGCGCAAAGGGCTAACGTAGAGGGCTGGGTGAATACAAGACGAGAGTCGCAGCACATATGGTAGAAAGTTAAAGACACATCCCCCCCTCCCCCGGTAGAATGGGGACGTGAAGTTAGGAAAATGGGGGAGGTGAGCCACGAAATCGATTCGGCGAAAGGCGACGGAAGGGGGAACAGGAAGGAGGAAAGCGAAAGGGGCCAGTGCGTCGTGGTAGGGTACAGAAGGTTGAACGGAGGGAGTAAGAAGGTGTGTAATGCCCGCATGTCGTCAGCGATCTCTCAGGTTGGTAAGGGAGGGAACCTCAATATCCTGTATTTGCGAGAAAGCGTAGACAGAGATTCCGCTAGGTCGCTTAAGCTCAATCCTCGAGCAAGCACAGCCAGGCAAGACTACGGGAAGGTTTTCCCACGATGGAAGCCGACACGGAAGTCAAGCCCTATCGGAAGGAAGCAAGCAGGAAGACGAGGATTCAAAAGACAAGATAGCAATTCATCTGAATGAGACAGATTCTTAATGATCCGTTTTTATGCTCGAGCGAGCTGTAAGCTTGATCTGTCAAAGATCAGACCATCGTCCTTTTCCCCTTCAGCCTCGTTTCTCTTTCATAAGCATCACCTACGAAAGCCTTGACGAGAATTATTCGGAGAATTATTCACACCGTGTCATGTTTCCACTTTTTGGAAACAAATGCTCCCTGGAGGCATAACTCCGTGGTCGTTCCCCTTTCCGTCAGCCACGCTAGCATTCAGGCGAAGATCCCACGTCCGCCCGTCTTCTTTCTCCACTACGCATGGCCTCCGCTGCAGCCGCTGCAGCCGCTGCTGCTTGTTGCCTTGTCATTCTCCGAGTACCACTGCTGTTATGAGACGGCGAGGTAACGGCTGCTGGTGATAAATCCGAGGAGAAGGAAGGAAGACTAGCGCTCTCGTCATGATCGAAGACTGGAAATGCACTGAAGCTCCGTCGCCGTTCCTCTTCTTCTTCCTCCTCTTGACCTTCCATACTGCGGATTTCTCGAAGCAAAGCTTTCGCTTCTTCTTGCTCCTGTCATGATGCCCAAAGAACGTCAGTCGGACCCTGTCCCTCCTTTCTCCTCTATCTTTCCGTCTTTTTCCGTCCCTCTTTGTCCTCTCACATACCCGCCCTCCCATATCCAACAGGCGGTTGCAGTAAAGCGTGGCAGTGTGGAGGTCGTGCCTCCTTTTGTGATAATGCGCGAGGAATAGGAGAGCGTCAACCGTATCGGTGCTTCCGTCCGTCTGCTCGAGAGGGGGATGGAAGGCCGGAAAGAGTGTACCCCAGTTGAATATAAGTTTATCATCCATACATTTGCATAAGCTTCTGGCGCGGTGACGTTATATTTTCCTCGCCGTATCTTTCTCTACTTTCTTTCAGGTTGGGATCACGCAGGAGACAGTCAAGGAAGGGTCAACTTTTGTCACTCGCGCGAACCCTTTCTATCGTCTACTCATTCTACGTCTCCGCGTTCTCCTCACCTGATACCCTTGGCGTGCTTCTAAGTGGCGCTGGTAGCAGCGAGCGGCCTTCCATTCGTCTTGATCATCGCGGTAGAGGCGGGCGAGCTTGGCTGTGGCGATTCCCTCCCTACATGGAAGGAGTGCGCGGGGAAGAAAAAGTGAGGAAGTTGAGCACTCGCTGCACACGGGAATACAAATTGATTATATTCGAAAAAAGGAAAAATATTTCAAACAAGTATCATTCAATCATCCCTTTCTCCCCCTTTATAGCATACTCCCTCGCGCTGTCTTCAACTAAAAGATATTAGTGTTTACAACCTGTCGTTGTTGCACACAGCCCTCTCGTAGCACTTGATGGCTTCGTTGCGTCGGTCCAATTGTTCGTAGCAGACACCCTGAAAGGGGAGGAGAAGGGGGGAGTGAGCCATAGTAAAGAGGTGTGAGATGGTGGCCCACAATTCAGTAGGTGGGGGGATACTGATACGTCCCAAAAAGATGCCATCGCACGAGATCATGCTTCTGCCAGACAGCTTACGTCCCGCTACACCCAGGAATTTGAAGAATGGTCAAGAGAACATAGAAGGGGAAAGCGGAAGCAAATGATAGGAATGTCCGCAAAAGGCCCCCCTAACCGCATGAGAAGCCACCATCCTCCCAACATACTGCTCTCGCGGGCACTTACGAGAGCACACCACATGCGCGCATCGAAAGGACGGAGGGTCGCCGCTTTTCGGTAGTAATATATGGCATAAAGGTACATTTGCAGGAGCTCGTACGTTTGACCTAGCCCGTACCACGCCCGATAATCGCGGGGGTTGATGTCCACGGCCCGGCGATACGCCTGAGAAAAGGTTGGAAACACACAACATAGAGGAAGGCCTTCCGATGAAAGACGCGTACGAGGGTGACGTGCGGCGGGTGGGGAGGATCAAACGCCATGCAGATTGACAAAAAACAGCGGGGATAGGAGAGAATCTGGATAGCCCTTTTGCAAGAGACGGTGTTTAAACGCCGTCATTTGTAGGTCCGAGAAAGGAAATCGAGTGGGGAGGGAGCAACCTCTTCTCAGTGTTAGATAGAATAGGAGAGGGTGGGACCCGTGGATAGAAAAGAGACTTGGGCTTGCGTCAAAAGAGGAAAGAAGGACGAATTCACAGGAGCCATAATAGGGCTTTTAGGCTTCGAAAATCAATGAGGTTTGAATTTCATGAAGGTAAACGTAGAAATGGATGTTACAAAAGACACTGGAAAGCCGTGGCTGAGCAGAGGCGTGCAAAACGGCTTGATGGAGAACGGAGGGGGCTTTCGACCGATCAGAAAGGGCTGTGCTTTGCTGTGTCGTTGACTTCTCGTTCTCTATATCCCCCTTGTCTCCTTCCCCCTTCACGCCTCTTACCTCAATAGCCGCCCCCGTGTTCTTCATCTCAAGGAAACCGTGGCCCATGAGTGTCCTGTCCGACCGACAGGATGACTTGGGTATCGACCCTCTATCTCTTCATCCCCCCCCTGCCTCCACCTCCTAGTTTCTTACCAGGCAAACAGGAACTTTCGGTTCAGTCTAAGGGCTCTTTGGAAGTATAAGACAGCACGCTCATGTTGACCCTAATATCCAGGATTTCAGGTTGGGGGAGAAGGGCATCAAGGAGGGAAATAGGGATGAACTTCCGACATTTATGAATCGACGGCATACAAAAACCCAAGACGGACACGATCGGCGCCACGAAGCCTGGAGAAGGGTGGGAAAACATGCCAACGAGAGCAAAAGCCGGGGTGGAGGGACCGAGGGGGAGCGCACCTTTAAAGAGTAGTAGTTGCCGATGATGCAACAGGTCTCAGGTCGATATTTGTCGTTGCGCGCAGCTATATGGGCCAGTTGAGAGAGTTCCGCCCGGCTTTCCTTCACGTAGAGGACGTCGGAATACCTGTGGGCAGTGATGCGAACAAGGGAAGGAGTAAAGGCGTGTGTGAGCTAGGGTTAGGGTAAAAGTCACTGTTAGGGTTGGGCTATAAGGCACCTGAATGTGCTCCTCCCCACTCCTCCTTCCCCTTTCCCCCTCTTCTCTGGGTCTCACCTTTCTAAGTTTTCCAGTCGGTAAGGGTCTTGCTCTTGAAGCGCCCGGAAGCCTTCCTGGGCTTCCTCGAAATCTCGAAGATTGTAGCGGGCGATGGCACATTGGGCCTGTGGGAGGAAGAGAGAGGGGGAAGGAGGAAGGAAAGGAAGGAGGGAGAGAGGGTCGATTAGGCACGTGGACAAAAGCACGCAGGGATGGTAGGCGCCAAACCTTGAGG